GGTGATAGCGGGAGGGTGGAGGGAAGGTGAGGGAGAAAGGGGGAACAGATGACAAGGTCTACATATGGCCTCCTCCTTGGGGGATGGACAGCGGAGAAGTGGGTGAGGGAGACGTCGGATGGGGTAAGATATGATAAAACAATAATAATTTATAAATTATCAAGGGGGAGCAGGGAGGGGGGAGCGTGGAGGGAGGTGGAAAAAGTGAGGAGCTGACACCAAGGGCTCAAGTGGAATGCATTGTTGTGAGAAGGATGAAGTCAACATATGTACTAATGTGCTGGACACAAATGATGTATGTACGGATTGTGATGAGCTGTATGAGCCCCTAATAAAATGATTATTAAAAAAAAAAGAAAATGTTTTCTTGACTTTGCGTGATAGTGATTTCATGCAGTAGTTGTCTGTCTGTGGTTCATTTCTTTCACGCGGCGTAGGATCCTATGCCCTATCTATAGCCCATGTTTTGAGGTGTTTCAAAGGTTCACAGACTTATTCTTTAACATCCCATAGGCTCCCATTGCGGGTATGTACCAAAGCTTAGTTATCCCTCTGTCCCACTTTGGACATTGCAGTGATTTCTATGCTTTTGTTATGGTGAAAGAGGAGCGCTGAAGAGCTCTTGGGTCTGTATCATATCATCTCTTTGCGCTCATCCTTTGCAATTGGGAATAGTACTGCAAAGATCGTGTTATTAGGGCCTCTCCTAATAAGATAGCGAATATGAGTGTCTCATCTAGTCACAAGGAGCCCTCATGGTGTAGCGGGTTACCTGTTGGGCTGCGAGGTCAGCAGTTCGCAACCATCAGCCTCTCCGAGGGAAAAAGGAAGGCTTTCTACTCCCAGGGAAAGTTATCGTCTCAGAAACCCACAGGGGCATTTCTACCTTGTCCTATGCTACAGGACCTGTAGGATGAGTCAGAATCGACTCCACAACCGTCAGTGAGTGGGTGATGTTCCTATTCATACCATGGCTCTCATTTCTATGGGATCTATATGTAATATACGGCAAAACATTTTAATGACGAACTATGAA